TCGTGAAATGGCCCGGATAAACAATCTTTCTGTTACATTCCAAGGCTGTTGCTCAAAGTTCTTCATTGACCTAATTAACCATTTACGTATTGTGATTAAAATAGTTCTGCAAGAACTTACTATGATTACAAGTTTCAATGAAAACGATAAATGATACTTCACTTTTATGATATGAGAGTGCGTACTTTGATTTTTTGTACTTCGAATGTTTGTACTTTTAGCTTGTAGATGTGTTTGATACAATCAACAATCTCCCAAGATTTTCAGTTTCGGTTTCCAAGGTCTCGCCATATATATAAATACTCAAGCTAGCTAGCTAACTCAGCTAAAGTTTTCGTACAGCATTTTAAACAAAAAGAAACCAATTAAATCACAATTGGATACCCCTGCTAAGAATATAGTGGCCGGTTCAGTCTGGTTCTCGGAGTAATATAAACATAAACTTTTTGAGCTATGCTGTGTTTGGTCGTGAGAATTTATAGATTTAGCCGCATTGATTTACATTTCGAAGAAACTCGCACTGTTTATTCGCCAGATGGAGGTATACTTTTCACATGTCATGACTGGAGTCTGTTAGGCGCTTATGGCATCTGCCAACTTGATCAGCGGAAAACTCGGTTTTTGAATCAAGTTTTCATGCCACAATTTCATATTGTATCACTCTGGAAAAGAGGAAATTGTGACGATAGTTTGAGGTAAATCATGACTACCCGATAAGGAAAATTTCCCTCAAAGACATCAGTACTTCATTTGATGGATTTGACTTTTCAGGTCACAGATAACATACCTTGTTGAAACGTTTCCTTGTTACCGCACGTACGATGGATCTTCGGGATCTCGTCAATATCGAAGTTCCCGAGTTGGAAGAATAATCAACTCTATCACATATATGTAATTTTCACTTTCGGAAACAGATTTCAAAACCTTCAGCCTGCGGTCAATGTACAAAGACTTACTTAGGCAATTAGTGTATTATCTAAGCTTATTTGAAGGTATGCAAACATTCTCGAGATATTTCGTAAATGGTAATGGTCAGATAATGGGTAACACAATATAAGAAAAGGAAAAATTAATTTCGGGGCCTAAAACGACAAAGCTCAAAAATTAGTTTGCCATAATTTATTCACTTACTATGGCACAATGATCAGTTCATCACTGTAAAACGTTTTCATAACTTATACAATAGCAGGTACTGTGTTCACTAGGGAACCGATTCCCGTTGCTCGGAGATAACTAGCGCGGAGATAAAGTAAATTCCGTCTGGTGACGCAGGAAGGAGAATTAGGATGAAACAAAGCGAATTATTGCGCACACGGATGAAGAAACCACTATTTAATACAAAGTTTTTTTTAGAGAGAAGAAAATCTAAGTTACAGATATAAACTGGTTATGAATGAAGAAGCTTCTAGAACTTTCAGATCAGCCCCTCCCATTCTTTGGCTGTTTGCGACTCGGGTCTTGCCTTTACTGTGTCAAATGTGCCAATAAACGTTTGAAATACTGTTCGTTTCTGTTTATGTTCAACTTACACTTGACTGTAATTGACACAATTAAACAACCCCGAATACTCTAAAGGTATTCATAACAAAGGTAAAACTACACTTAAAATCAGGGGAATCCCCGGACTGAAGCAGGCTTAATTATGGACCAAAGATCGACCTCATTCCGAAAGGGCTTGTCCCTGTGAAAAATGATGCAATTTTTAAAACCGAGTAGGCTTTGGAGACGAGTTTGACCACTGATGAAGATCTGGAGGCCGTCGTACAAATTTTTCTCGCAAGTGGCAGGAAAAGAACCTCTGATAATTTCAGTCATAAAGGACTAACTCTAGGATATTCTCACGGTGATTAAAAAAATCAAGGGGTGTTATTATATTGAGAAAAAAGAAAGTTTAATCTAGGGCTGGGCTAGATGAGCTCTTTTGAATTTTAATTTTTAACCTGCTCATCAAAAAGTATAATTCTCTCAATAAGGAGCTTGAGATCAAACGCATTTTGAAACTTATTGTAGGCGCAAGAATTTGTATTATCATTTTTGTTAGTGTTGGCGTTTCATAATTTCGTGTTAGGTGTTTATTTTCTCGTCTTCATTAGTGTCCTTTGTCAGTTACCAGTTTTGTACTTGTTATATTTATTTGCATATCGTATATATATTGGTTGCGCGTAATTTATTTGGTTAGTTGTCTAGTTCGCGAAAATTATCGTTACATATCTAGCTCTGGGATTCATGTTTTCGTCTTTGGTTTGGTCACATTCGTCTTGTAAGTATCCTTGTTCATTTCGCTTTGCCGTTTTCCAGTACTTTCACTCATACGATGTAAGTTATTTTATGCTCATTCGCGTGTTTGTAATTTTGTCATTTTCAGTTACCGTATTCAACAATGTGTCAAGTTTGTTCTAGTAAAGTTTGAAATACGAGTGATTAGCGTTTGCGGCTATACTTATGTCATGCTGGATAGAGTGAAGGAAGCATATGCGTCACGGCGCCGAGACGAAATCTGATCAAAGTTACACGTCAATGAAATTAGCGACAGAAAATACGTATTTAAGCTCCACAACGACGGCAACCAGCAAACAGTCTATTTTTATAAATCACTAACAATAGAAAGGTACTTCTTAAGTTTCGTGACGACTCTGTAACCGAATAGAAAAACAATGACATTCTCCGTAAAATTATCAGTGGTTTGTGTAACTGATAAATTTAGTTTACAGCATGTGGCGGCATCGTAAGACTTTTTAATCGTAGTAGTTAGCAAAACATATTTGCAGAAAGAGGGATTATAGAAGGGGGGCAAACTTTTTGGTTACTTCAGCTGACAGGAAGTTAAACAGATAATTTTGAAATAGAAATTTATGTCTGAAATTAGAAAACTTAAGCCCAAAATAGTTCATGTTTGGGCTCATGTTCGGTGCAAGTCTACCTACACGTTCATGAGCGACGAATAACATACAAAACGAAGAAGTTAAGCAAAAGAGGCTCGTAAGGTAATTGTGACAAAGCGAAGAATAATTTTTGGCTGGTTCTCAAGCTGAAGTAAGACCCAATATTTTCTTTGGTTTGAGCTTTGCTTTCCCACACAAGTGAAGCAGAACTATCGTAAAATTCGCCTTTCCGAAGCTGCGCACTCCAGGGAGACGTTTGACGCGAGAAAAGGCATAAACCACATGCTTTCGTGGGAAAATAAATGCACTTCTCTCTGGACACCTTCTCGAATTCGCTTCCATTTTTTGCTAAACATGCTCACAAAGAGTTGAGTGAATGGATTATGGCCGGCGACATACTTCTACCTCTATCGAGTGAAGCAGCCCAAAAATAAGTGGATCTTAAATGAGGGGCACGAATGATACTTCTCTCTTACAAATTTGGTTCACTGATACGTGTGAAACCAGTCCTCACACAACGACTTATGACTCTTTGATCTAAGAAAAGCTCTAATCCTTTGAAATTTAAACAACCGGTCCTCTATATATGCATAGGTAACAGACTACCTTGACTAAGACAGAGATTTTGATCAACTAAGATTTTCTAAAAATGAATTCCTGAACAATATAGGAAATAATGTTGTGATAGATACCTTAATCTTCAAGATTTGCCTTCATGCTCAGATTCAGTGCATGGGAACTTCTTCACAATCAGTGACTTCTTCGAAGCCACCGTACTTCCCAGAAATATAAAGGAAGTGACGTAATGATTAGTACTCCACATCGGCAGGGTTAACGTAACTATCACAGAGTTATTTCCTTTTATGGTTCATGAATCGACTTCGGGAAAGCTTAGTTAACTAAGATCACAGTCTTAACTAAGGTAGTGTGATGTGTATGCATGTATAATCGTTTAAGACATAAAGCAAGAAGATAGCAGATATTATTGTTGGATGCCATTCATAATTTATGCGTTTTCTGTTTAATTCTCTGAAATATGGAGGAAGTGGCGTAATAATTTGAAGTCCGTGGGTTTCGTATTCTGATGTGAATGCTATGGCCACAAGGCAAGCGGAGGACGCGGAGAGTTGTGAGAATGACGATATATTACTCAAATATGACCATAATATATTTGACTTATTCTCTTCCCACTACACCCCACACTTTTCTTGTGCGCCCTGAGAAGACAGCGACTGAGTCCGAGTTAAGTCTGTAGTATGCAAGCCTGAGTCTTTAGCGCCATGATATGAAATTCTGCATAGCAATGAGTTTTTTAAAGATGAGTGACGGGTTCTTGAGAGCCTGAATCGCTTTTAAAAAAATAGGCACAGTAAAACGTTTCTTGAGCCAGCAATATTCAAGGCGGTTTGACGTGAGCCTATAGATGGTAGTAGATAGAGCTAGATTGGTGAAGAAATGTACCAGACTAATCTAGTTCGTTTGGCGCCAAAATACGCACAGATATTTGTTGGCAGACATAATCCTCTAATGTTACACAGTTTGATATCTTAGGAGAACTAGAAGAAGACTTAGAAGAAGCGTGCCCTTCCACGCTGGAGATAGTAGACCCTTAGGTTTAGAAGGGATTGTGAGATCAAAGTGGAGTAAATATTTCCCTGGTAATATAAATGAAATATGCGGGAAGAAACGATTCCTGAAAATCAATAAGTGCTTCGTTAGTGCTTGTAAATTATTAAAACAGACAAGAAATATACTGTTGAATAAGAAAAGAACATTTCTGTGTTGCATTCAATGAGCGCCACCCTCAAATAGGCGCGGCTCATGAATAAGCGCCACACTTGCAGAGCTTCTAGCTCATTTCTGATAAAATTCAATTGTAAAATGGTTCTCATTTTAAGAGGTTTTGGTCATCCCCCCTCTCCGGAATAACCTCATGTTCTTGGGAGAACATTTCATTTTGCTCCACACGGGGATCTTCTGTGCCAAAGGATATGTTCGCGACGCATTCCTTTGCCAAATTAATTGTTTAGTTGCTTGCCTATTAAAAAATTGTAAAAACGGAGAAGAGAAAGAGAATGGAGAGACTCTAATGTCTGGTAGCAAAAAAAATTTACTGCAAACTTGCTAAGACAAGGTAAATAATCATTTTCAATAGGACTTCGGTATAGTTTCTTTGCTGAAACGATGTAATGTTCGTGTAGCCATGATTTGCATGGCTACTTGAAGTTTGAAATCCCAAGGTTACACCAGAATAAAATAACAAACTACTTACATAACTATAAAAAGTGTAAAAACCTAAGAAATTTCAAGAGCAAGCTCGGTTTTTCTTCCCTTCATTTCTATCACACGTCTCCCGAAGGCAAAGAAGATGAAATTTGAAGCCCTTAGACTGCCTTCCTCTTCTGGTGTAACTAAAGTTGGGAAAAACGTTGTAGAGGGGCCTTATTTCACACAGCATTCTAATAACCATAAAACACTACCAGGAATTTAATGACAACACCATGAGAAATGTTTTGTTTAGCTGAAAGTGTAAGGGTTATAAAATCCCTAAAAGCATATTTTCATTTTAGATGACGATAAAAAACAACCCGTACCAAATCTAAGTATTCTGTTGTTTCCTTACAATAATAAGAAATAGAATTTTACAATGGCTTCACTATTATGATAAACTTAGCTTTTCATCTCCTCGGCAGACTAACCGATGCTTTGCACAATTTTATACAAATCTTTTAAGGGATGAATGGCCTTCTACTAAATTGGATACAAAAGTCACTGTATAGAAATCACTTCGACCTAAAGGGATCCTGCCACCCTCGTTTCCCCTCCCCCCTCACGTTTGTGTCCTTGTACAGGTAAGATTAAAATAACTATTACGATCTTTAACACTTTATACCCTAACAATCCACACTGTTCTCTTTATATTTCCTCTGGTACTAACAATGAGAGTTTGTTTGACAGTCAGGAGCTTCCTAAATTAATGATCATTGCCTTTATTTTCATTACATTTACCATTTGATTCTAGGGTGATACCGTGAGGACAAATTAGGAGCCAGTCATTCCCAGGGGTAAACAGTTCAATTCTACAATAAAGAATGAAAACGTCAATCAAGACACTTAGTAGAACATCTCAATTAGAAACAATTTGCCTTTTCTTGGAATTCTGAGCACTGGAGTCGAGGTTGTTATTCATTCATTCCTGTCTGACTGTACAAAGGATGGCGACAAATTGGGCAGCTGCGACTGCAAATTAAAAGGAAATATTTCAGGTGAACTTGAGAAAAACTAGTGTGGGAATGTCACAGTAAAATCTGGCCTACCTAATATTAAAAGTCTTGCCAAGTTTATGAATGACGTAATATCGCTTTAGATTGAAGAGAACTCCATGACAAAATACAAAGAGCGTCTCGAAACTAAAACTGAAATTATCTCTGGACCTCAGAAAAGCTAAGGGGGCAATCAGGACGATACCCGGGACACCAGACTCACTTCCAGCTGGAGGCGGGAGCGAAGGTCTGTTTCTCCGGAAGTCCGTACTGTTTATTCTTGATATAGTTTCCTATCATTTCCCAAGTTATTTTGATCGCAAAAACCAATCGCTGTTTGTCAATATATCACTTTTACTCACTGGCGATCAAGGCTCCTTAAGAGGAGACAGATTTTTTAATTTTACATGCAACTGAAAACTACTCATTGTAGACTCATAGCTCGAGCAGGTCCACACACACACACACCCAATCCAGAATTGAATAGCAACAAATTTTCAGCGGAGCAGTGGAGTATTCTCCCATATTTAAGCTTATTCCCAAAAATAGATATCACGATATTTCATGCACACTTACACGCCGTTCTGTATCATAGCAATGGCACACTCTCGGTGAACCTTGTGCGAGCATGGCAGGATCTGACAACCGCTGAAAGCGTCCTGAAATAAAGAACCGATCAATGAAATAAAAAAAAATAGCAAAAAAATTTGGACTGTGATCTAATTGCCCTGCTTCTCTTTCGCCAGATTTCCACTTATGAAATGCAGGCACCTGACGTTGCTATGCGTAACAGGTTAATGAAACCCAATTGAATGCAAGGTTAATTCCTTTGGCTAAAGGGCAAAATCTTTTGGAGCATATTTCTCCCATTCCTTACTCTTATTCAGCCTTAATAAGTAATTAAGTAACTACCTCTAAACAGATGCAGCACTCATCGTGTCCTGAATTTGCTCGGCAAGAATGTTTTCCTTCCAGCCGTTTGTCCAGACAGACGTTACACACATCACAGTGAAAGGAGCGGTCCTTGTAGATTCTGAACGGAAAATAGGGGCATCACTTAGCAGGTATTTATTCGAGCACAACATGATTCGTTGGGGAAACAAATCTCTAACTCATACTGAAAAGCGTTGTATTTTTCTACTCGATAAGCTAGAACAATTAGTGAGCAGGAAACTTGATACGTTTGAGGAAACCAAAACTAATATTTTGTCGGACTCTCATTCCTTACTGAGAAGCAACTAGCAACGGGATGTTTTAAGCACTCATTGATGAAACATTTCTCTGCAATACCTTGCTCTCGCTCAAAAGGTAACCCTCATTCTTTTGGACAGCAAGCATAATATCCAAACAAACGAAAAAAAAATTTTCATGAATATTGTTTCACCTACCGGCAGATACCACATTTTTCGCAGTGATAAGGAGCTTTATCCTCCCCTGTGAAGTGTTTACACACCGAGCAGAAATATGCTGAGAACCTTGTTTTGCATCTGACACAGGTGTGGGCGTCCTGGTTGATCTTAAAAGTCAAGCATTCGAAGTAAAATCGCTTATAACCTAAGTGTAAGAACTCTCTTTCTTCTTATATAAAATTTGAAGTCAATGTCATTCCTATTTACCTCTTGTTGATGGCTACAAACAGAGCACTCAACAGAACACGCCTCTCTTGCTTTGGAATTGTCATTTGCACACCCGGAGTTGTTATGACAACGATGACAAGGAAAGAACTTTCCGCAGCATGAGAACTTGACACGGCAGAGCCGCTGATAATGTTCACACAGCCATTGTCGAACCCCAGCACTAGCCGAGTCTTGCGAAGGTGTTTCTTGTCCACCGCTCGTGGAGTTCCCTTCTACTCTTTCATTCATAAGTTCCGTTTCTCTTGCTTCTCTCGCTTCCCTTTCTTTTCTTTCACGTGCAAGTTGTTGTTTCCTTGCCTGCTTATCTTTTCTTTTTTGCTCCGTTTCTTTCATCGATTTCTCTCTTTCTTGTCTTTCTTTCAACGTTTTCTCGACAAGACAGCAAGCTTCAGCCACACGTTGCTCGAGTACGGCCAATGATTCGTCAGAAGATGTGTCTGAATTACTGTTTAACAGATCCTGATCAGCTCCTGCACTTTCCCCGTCCGGAAGAAATTCTGGAGTGTCATCTCTTCTTTCAAACTGCGATGATAACGTCGGCCTTTCGGCGAGTACATATCCATTTGTGAAGATATTTGGCGGATTTCTTGCCCGTACATTACCAGTGGGAAACTCTTTGACTTTCAACGGGAGATTTGCTTTAGATCCATCTTGGAGGAAACTTGAAGATCGAGGCAGTCTTAACTTCTTCGCTGAAACAGTTTTGGGCATCAGGACTAGGTTAAGGGATGACTCTTCCGGCTGATAACCATCACGACTTGAGTATATTTGTGGAGGAGATCCCATGGTGCTAGGGTAGACAGACTGATTTCCTGCATCGAATTTTGTAAAATCACGACATTCAAGAAATGTCGATGAACTTGGGGCAGTAGGGTGGTACAATTCAGGCATACGCCCAGATCTGTTGTACTCGGCGTGGGTACCTGCAGGTACTTCTAAATCTTCAAATGGACCACAAGAACCCCTTTGCTCATCAGATGCATTGCACTCATAAGAATGACGTGCGAGAAAACTAGGATCTATTCCGATGTGATTTGTTCCAAAGTCATCCTCATTCGGATCCCTTTGTGAACTGTGGCCTGACGGAAGATTGCTTTGGCGTCCACCTTTCAAACCAAGAGATATTTTTGTTTTCGAATTACTCTCATGGGAATCTCCTGGTTTTTTTGGAGGAGCAACAGCTTGGGTAATCCAATCCTTTTCAAAGCCGTAAGCCCCATTTGTAGGAAGTACATTGCGGTTTTCACCGCGGTCTGCAACCACATCTCCTCCGTGAAAAGAAGTTTTTAAATCGACATTCCCTCCATCGCTGACTTCGTTTGGTGTTTTCATTATCTTTTGTGAGATGCTGATTCCTCTGTTTTTATCCTTTTGGGATGGATTTTTATCTCGATGTTCTTGACCAGAAAGTTTACCTGGTTCGTCTAACTCTTCGTTGCTGTCCCACTTGTTGATATCTCCTCTAAATGATGGAATATCAGGGTTCACAACTCCATCTGCTGCGTCGCAAGGAAATCCTCGCCAGCTACGGTCAGGGCGCGACTTCAACTGAGGAACCTCTTGAAAGTCTTCGCACAATAATAACTTTGCAAGAGCGATGTTACATTGCACTAACTCTGGGTGATCTGAACCGTAGTCAAAACTTTTCAAAATATGTAATGCTTCTTCAAAGCAATTTTTTGATGACAGGTTTTGTTCCATCAAAAAAAATCTAACGCCTTGCTCATAGAGAAACGATGCATGTGTTGGGTGGTTTTTCCCAAGCAATTCTTTGCAATATGGTACAAAAACGTCGAGGAAAGATGCAAAGTTTAAGTTTTTTTCGTTCAAGTGAAAATCGACTAAATTCAATATCATTGCGAACAAGAAGTCCCAGTTGAATTTTCCATTACATCCGAGGACAGCTTCAAAATCGGGAAAGAAAAACGAAAATGAAGACATCGGTGACAAAGCAGACGATGAAGATGACGATGTTGGTGACGAACATGACGATGACGAGGATGAAACTGATAAAGATGATGATGATGATGATGACCCTAACCCTGACCCTGATGCTGCCGTAAACGATTGTGAGGAAGGCGATCGTGGTGGTGATAGCGATTGAGGGGAAAGAAAAGGGAGAGCCAAGCGCTCCGCTATTTTCTCTGCTCGAGCTACATCTCCAATATTTTGATACACCAAACAAATTTTAGAAGATATAAATTTTGATAACATTCCTCCTTCATCGTTCATCCTCTCAGATAGTGACCCCAATGTCCTCAGCTCCATGAGTGCTTTGACAGGCTCTTTGAGCTCTATGAACAACTCTGCTCTATTGTAATATATGGCAGCTACCAAATGTGGGGGAATAATGGGGTCTTTGGCCTTCAGAAGAAGACGCTCTTGCAACTTCACTGCAGCAGGGTAGTTCTTTTGACACTGGTAAGCTAGGCTTAAGTTGGATTGTATAACAACAATGTTTATTTCTATAGGGTAAGTTTTGTTTTTGTTTTTAAATGTTTCTAAAATCTCCAGCGCACATTCTAGATAATCCTTAGCCTTCTCCATAACTCTCATAATCAGATAAACACAGCCTACATTCGCCTTGGCCACTGCTTTTAACGTATCGATAACTTGAATGTTGTTTCCAGGACATGGCGTGACATCAGATGTGAAAAGAGAATGACATCGCCGAAATAAGTCTATAGCTATTTTATATTTATGCAGCTTGAGTGCAACAGCACCAAAGACAGTAGTAAAGCTGGCATAAAATTGGTCATCGTTATCTATGGGCAGCTCGGGGTTTAACAAAACAGCACCAAAGAAAGGAGGAGCGGAGCAATTACTCAAACACATCTCTCTACCTCGATCCATCTGCTCCTTCTCGTAATTAGTCGGGTTTCTGAAGCTATCTGGGGCTAGATTCAGGAAGTGCTTATACGCAACTTGCAAAGACTCTATGGCCGCTTCCACTTTGCAGGCGGTCTAATGTTCTTGTAAAGTGCCATTATCTTAGAGTTTGTGAGTATATGATGCGCGTGCGGCGAGTTTACAGAACACAGAATTTCGCGACAAGCAAAATAATGTATATCCACTAAGCGCTGAGCGTACTGTGCAAACGGAAGCGACCTAAAGGGACTCCTTTACGCCGCATTAAAGTCCCATCTTAGATTCACCTAACTACGTGACAAAGTAAGTTGAATCGATCGATAATAACTTTAGCTTCCATTACATTTGTGGCGTTGGTTTATCTAGTATCTTAACTGAAACAGTATTTAGTGCTATCAATTTGAATGTAAACTAGGTCAACTGTAATTTGAAACGACCGATCCATTTCTCAAGTTGCGGAGGCCCACGAGACTCGCGCGAGGAGATGGAGGCGCCTCGCGCTTGCATTGCGTTTGTTTTACGCTTATCTGACAAACACAAATTAGAAATGACGCCTGTTCTGTTGGCTAATCTGGTCTTAATTTGAGTGATCACGAGAAAATTTACATAGATACAATTCGTAACCTTCGATCCCTAAAATCGATTTTATTTAAAGTTTGATAAAAAAAATTGTTTCCTTGCCGGTGGTTTCCTGTGTTTTGCAGGTACTTCACTATATAGCTCACGTAGAAAATCAGTTATCGTATTGTATGACGTCTTGCGATCTCAAACCGCTTGCAGGTTTGTCTGAGGGTGGCAGAGAGTTTACCTGAGTACCTGACACTTGATTAGGTCCAAAATATCAGTACTTGCTTGTGGATTTTACAAGAAGGCAAGGTTCAGTGAGTTTTAAATTTCCCTTTTAAATTCGTGGCGCGTGAAATACTATTTTAAGAACATGTGACGCGTAATTGTTTCTAAACTTTACGCGTGAATGTGGATCAGGAACCCTCCCTTGCTACCCTCTTGTCTACCTATGGTTCAATAAGTTGTTGATAACCAAATGGAAACGAAAAAATAAAATGATCTGACGGTTTACACTGGTTTACGTGGGCAAATGTGAATTGAGTGTCGAAATTAATCCGGGAATGCTTCGCTCAGTGATCGTTCCAGATAACTCACGAGCCCAAAGGACTTTGGTTGGTTTAACTTACAGTTTTGATTGGTTCCTTTTCACAGTTTTCCTTTCCACTGATTGACGTTCGTAAGTACTTTACTTGTGGTTTCGGGAGACTCGATAAAGATGCTCCCTTATTTGGTACATGGTTAGCTAAAAATGAAAGCAGATCACGAGTACTCAAGAGGAACGCACCGCTATTTAATCAATTTCCGATAAAAATAAAGAATAATTATAACAGACATGCTTTAAAATTCATTCTTCTTATGCAATCTATCTCGGCTATCAACGACCATCTGCTTACTTTACTTATTCAACCTACCCCAGAAGCTGTTCAGAAGGCATAATACTAATTAATATTGCATTCAATATATGCATTTTCATTACTATTGCATTTAATATATGCATTCAAAGGAGTGCCCTGTATGCATTATATCTTGACTGTTAACGAATATCTGCTCACTTTGTCTCTTCTACTGTGTCCGGAAGCTGTTTGGAGGGCGGTTTAAAACAAATCCGTCATCCATTGGGATCGAAATGACACGCAAGAATTGCAGAACGGATAGCTTATTTTCCCTCCATGTTCACCCATGCGTGCATCTCGATTGAACATTAAGTTAAATACACACTATGAGCACTGACTACTGCACTACACAGGAATTAAGACTTTCAACAGTAACCGCAACAGTTCAAAGCGTTTGGCTTGTTTAGCTTCCCCTTTGAATTAAAACTAATCTCGTGACAATCTGTTGATTTGATTGCAGACCTGTGGAGTAGGCTTTGGCAAACAGACCTCTCTTGTGCGTATTAATCTGAAAAACAGTCTGGAAAATTCTAGCCTTACCTGGTTAAACTGGATTGAGCTACTGTTCAGTTCAGGATAGGTTCTAGTTTGAGCGGGCCAAAAATGATGTCACATAATCGAAACAGAAACTACTGATCAAAGCATAAGCTGTCCAAGGTCATTATTCAATTTTGTTCAAAGCTATCATTGAAGCGCAGCTTGATAGTTCACAACATGCCCAGGCGGAAACAAAAATATCATTCCGTTTACATCGCCGCGGGCAAAGAGGCGTGCAAGACTCTTGGGCTCGCGAACCATATATGTCGTAGCTTATTTAAAATCCATCGCACAATGCATTCTGCCCTGGCGTGCTAGCACCGTCCAGGTTGGCCTTACAATTCAAATTCATTGATATACATGCTAAAATCAACATGTCTAGGTCTTGTCTGCCAAGAGGATTAGCATTGCAGCTTCGCTCTGTTATGAAATTGCAGCTGGAAGCTTACAATCAATATACAACGCTTCCACGAATATACAACGCTGGTGGCCGGAACTTTACCGAAAGTAATAGAGGTTTGATAAGAGGAGAAATTTCGATCAGACAAAGCACTTGTCTCAATTTCCATAATTATTTAACTTCTTAAAAATTATCTTGATGTTCAACAAAATATAAATTCCGTAACCTGAGTAGTGTCATCACTTAGCCAGCTTATCTTGTTTGAACTTTAGGAATTTTATCCAGTAAGATGTTGTGTTTTGAATTTTGGTAATTATGTTATTCTTAGCAAGTTTTACCTGTTTTGGTGGAAGGGAGGTTTAGGGGCTCTTTAAAAGTCTTTGGATTTAATCATTAACTTGAGCGTAATGAAACATTTTGAACAGATAGATTGAATTTGCTGTGATAAACCCACATTCATGATTTCAATTGTTTCAGACGGACGCGACAGGCCGCTCAGTGGAAGACAAAAAAGGATTGGCTCTGAGAGATACAAATACAAAGCGAAGAAAAGAATTCAATGTTGCCTTTTGTGATACCGACTGGTCTTTCATTAATGAAGCTGAAGATGTAAATATAGCTTACGACTCATTTATAGAAAAATACGTAGGAATCGTCTGCACTTGTTTCCTTTTAATTAAGTGAAAAGAAAAAGGTTGACTAAAAATTACAAAGCCTTCGATCTCTAGGGGATTATCAAAATCAATAAGCCAAAAGAACAAGTTGTAAAAACAATACCTGGGTTCTCGCTCAACGCGACTATTAAGAACTGCCAAAAAACAATACTATGAAGCCCTGCTTGTTAAAAATAAAAATGACGCGACTATTAAGAATTACCAAAAAACAATACTTTGTAGCCCTGCTTGCTAAAAATAAAAGTGATTTCAAAGCTACATGCAAAATTCTAAATTGTGCTACGAAATCGTTCGAAATGTAAACCTATTAAAGTTTCATTGATACAGGAACACGGTGTGACTATTACTGATTCTGAAGACATTGCAATAGGTTCTGCCAACTCTTTGCTAATACTGGCCCAAATCTAGCCAGCAAGATCATCCCATTGTCTCAATCTTTTAATGTATACCTAACGCTAGTCTCATCGTCCTCTCTACAAAATTTTGATTCCGTTAAAATAAACGAGCTCTTCGAAGTTGTAAAAAACTCTAAAGACGGCAAAGGTCCTGGACTGGACAATTTGCCTCGGTCCACCATTTTATATGTGAACCATTGCTGGATATTTCAACTTGTCTTTGAGTTCGGGTATTTTTCCATCTAAACTTAAAATTGCTAAAAGGGGTCCCTGTATTAAATACAGACAACCCATCCTTGATTTAAAATTACAGATCAATTTCAATACTTCCTGCTTTTTCGAAAAATTGGAAAAAAATTGTACATAATCGTATCTCAAGGTACCTAACTGAAAATATGCTCTTGTCTAACAACTGGTTTTACATAGGAGATTCTGAATGTTTATTTTTAGCCGACGATACCAACATTTTTTTACCAAAACCGAAATCTTATTCTTATCGTTTACCTCAACGATGAAATTTGTAGTGTTACGACTTGGCTAAAAGCTAACAAGTTGTTCATTAATGTGAGAAAAACAAAGATTATGATTTTTAGAACTTAAACAAAATTGCAAGCGACAAGCCCTCTCTAAATTGATAACACAATTATTGAGGAAGTTGAACACATCAAATTTTTAGGTGTTTACATAGACCAGTATCTTGCGTGGAAAATGCATATTAGCTACATTTGTACAAAAATTTCTAAAACAATAGGAATGTTATATGAAACAAGGTTTCACGTACTTAGCAAATCTCTTCTTTTATTGCATTATTCTCCTGCCTCTTGCCATTCTCTCCATCCACTAGATCTTCTTACTTCCCTTCTCTCTCTTTCTATCATCTCTCTATTTCTTCTCATTCTAATCTCTCTTTCATTTCTCTCCTGGTTTGTTTGAAGTTGTTCCCGCTCCAATTCACGCTGTTCTCTTTCCCGCATTCTCCTGTTCATTTGGACCTTTGCTCTGGCTACTCCTTGCTCCAATGCAAGATGACTGTTGTTCGTGGACTCTAAAGACTCAACATTCCAAGGTCTTAAGTTCAGTGCAGACAATGCAAACAAAGCTGAAGCTTGAGTGTTCGTTGGGAAGACCTCGGCCGAAGGGAAACCGGCCGCAGACGAGTCGATAGCAGTGTTGCTTGACACGACAATCTAGAGAAACGAAACAAAATAAGATAATTTGCAAAAATGTTTATTATGTGGCTAGCTCTTTGAGCGGACGATTTAGAATCATTTTACTCGCTTGGAATGCTCGTTTTGATGCCTCATAAATCTTAGATATGTTTTTGTTTTAATTAAATAAAAACTAGAAATCTTTTTTTTGTAAAGATGTCGCAAAGTACCTCCAGGGGGCAGTCGCAACTGGGAAACAACAACGACTTTCGTAAGTTTATTTTGTAAGTATCTTTTGCCATACAGGGAATCAATTTTTGACTAAGCCTCTGCGATCAAATTTTCTGGATCATTTGGCCTTGTAGCTCAAGTTTTTATGTCACAGTAAATAAAAGCTGTGATCTCAGCTTAAATTTTGGTGAATTGCTTTTACAACGCCCTCCTTCCCCTAGTCGGCCGGCTAAGTAGTCTCAGACAGGCAATATCAGTTCCCCTCTCTTTATTTTTAAGGCTATGCTGTATTTGTTTCTTACCTCTGCCCCCATCCCTGTGCCTTGGTCATGGCGTAAGCCATTTTGATTACGAGAAATTAGTTCCAGGCGTAAGGTACGGTCTGTAGTGTGTATGGCCACCGCGGAGGAGTTTTTCAAACCGTTAGCTTCGTTTTCCATGATATACGTATTTGTAACTGAAGGAAACTAATGTTCTACAAACAGAAAGTAGAGTAGGAAAATTGAAAGTGACTGGATGTAGTTTTCCGACTACATTCACTACACTCATGAGCCAAGTTCCATCATTTGCAGTCGAAAGATTTTCGCTTCTGCATTGAACGTGTTATACGTGAGATTCAGTTATTTTAAGGAAGTTGAAAATCAAGCTAGTAATGCAAACATAAAAATAATCGATCAAAAGTCGCTAATCGCCTCTGAATGTTAGTAGTTTGGAGCCACAATCTATAACGAGGGTCCCCGATAGGATTCTTCGATCCCGCGATCCCGACTAAAATTTTCCACAATCCCGTATTCCCGACGGTTTGTACCAGCCAATCCCGATCCTGACGATGTCATAAAATTCTTGTTAGTCAGCATTCAGACAATCGTCACGTTATGTATGAATAAAGTAGTTATTTGCACATCAGTGAGTATCCGTAGATTTGAAGCTGGCAGGACTGAATTATTCTCAGAACGATTCACTCAACTCATTTATAGTTTTGAAATATTCACATGGCAAATACTGGCGCACTGCTTTACTCTCCCCAAAGGCCACATATGTAAAAAAAAATAATAATATCTCCTAACTGACCGTAACTGTTTAATATCTTGTTGGCCATAAAGTACTTACTTAATCAATTTCAGGATTAGTCTCAGATGTTTCGATCCAGTATATTGTCTAACTCGACAAAATTGTAAGCGGAGTTTGTTTCAGTCATGTGTGACATTGCAAATACTGGCGCACTGCTTTACTCTCCCCAAAGGCCACATATGTAAAAAAAAATAATAATATCTCCTAACTGACCGTAACTGTCTAATATCTTGTTGGCCATAAAGTACTTACTTAATCAATTTCAGGATTAGACTCAGATGTTTCGATCCAGTATATTGTATAACTCGACAAAATTGTAAGCGGAGTTTGTTTCAGTCATGTGTGACTTCTCAGTTCTACACGAATACTGACATCAGTTCTACACAAACATTATTATTTAATTCATCGATAAGCCAACGATCCATGAAATACGATACAGATTTCTTAAAGACTCTCTCAAAGCTATAAAAAACCACAAGGAAGCGTATACGTCGGTCCCATGCGGTTATTAAGCATGACCTTTTACCTCCCTTCTGGCCACTGATTGGAAGAGACTGCAGATTGTTCTCAACAACAATAGGAAACATTATATTTATTTTTGACGTCGGTGCACTTTTAATGAATGTCTGGCAGTTTATTTCAGCGCCAACGACAATCAATCACCACTGAATCATTTGAGGCCCGACGCAAAATTTGCCACACATCGATCATATGGTATTGTAATTTTTTGCGTAAAGCATCCGACCTGTTCTTCTCATACCAAAATAATTTTACATTTCTATCCGCAATTCTATGGGGTCAGACATTTTGCTGTTACATCACATTACCTGATGCATTAATTTTCGATTGTATAAACAGCAATTTTTTTTCTTGATACCTCTGTGCAAATGAAGTAGTCCGGATGTAAGCTAATTGGTTCTTCGTTGGAAGACACCAGCTTCCTTTTATTCACGCCTGGAAACGGTCTACTGAAGTCACGGTGCAAATGCTCGTTTATATAAGGGTCAGAATATTGGGCAATGGGCCGTCTCGAATTACATCCGCAAATAGTTTTAAATCTTTATAAATTCCCCTACAAGTATTTTCCTTTAAAAGCTTTGAATACTGAAACAATGGTCCTTCGGCTGAAGTAAATATGACAAAGAAGGCCAGAAGTAATCACGTTTATCCTTACTTTGAAAATTTTAAAGCTTACGTTTCTTCTTTCCTCATCGAAGCAATGCAACCGTAATTGGTAATGAAAACAATCATTGTCACATTACCTTATTCTGGTTAGCTATAATTTTTTTTTATATTCACGTGCCCTGCGGCCTCGTCAAAACACCCAGCGATACTACACACCAAATCGTTTAATAAGATATATTTGTGGCTAGGGGGAAGTTTGGTTTCTGAACCGAACGTATGCGGCGGATTTTTCGGGAAAACTGGTCATTTTCTTTCGCTATCAAAGAATTATACACAAAGAGTTTCTTTTGCTGATCACTTTGGTAGAGAACCTGAATTCCAGTAATATGAATCTGCTCGCAGCTGCCGGATATTGACGCTATGACTTGCAGAAACAAGGAATAGAGCTTCGAGCTCTCCGGAACCCAGAACACGAGTATATAAGGATTTTGGGGATCTCCACTTGTATCGCTGAATTACAATCAGTATATCAAGATGAGTTATTCTTCAAAGTTAAAAAAAAAATCATCGGATTGTCGTATTTTAACTTTGATTCTTCTGGTTTTTCATTATTTGCATTCAGGTTCTCTACCAAAGCGCTCGGCAAAAACATTAATTTTGTAGCTTCTTTAATAGCGAAAGAAAATGACTAGTTTTCCCGGAAAATCCGCCGCATACGTTCGGTTGAGAAACCAAACTTCCCTCTAGCCACAAATATATCTTATTAGACGATTTGGTGTTTATTTATTTTGGATAAACACATGAAGAAAGTTTTTTTTTTCTTTGATTCGGTCAAAACTATTGGACAAAGAAAAAATGATGAGTCATAAAGAGTCGAGGCTCAGACCTTCGCGCCCTGCATGATGCTCTGGAAGTAAACCACAGAGACCCTAAGATGAGCTAAGTCATTTCTGCATACTGCTAGGATCAACAATGTTGAAAGCCCCTTGTGCAGAATAAGAAAAATGACGAATCTTCAGCTCGGTAGGAAAATGAAGAAATATTTTTTCCGCCTCCATTGTTACGAGCGTGGAACGAAGAAAAAAAATAGGACTCACCGTCTTTCTTACAACATTAACTCACACAAAGCTTTGTCACTGCCGATCCTAGTAGTTTGCGGGATGTGTCACATGTTAGCTTAGTAAGAGCTGACTAAGCTTACAGTCTCTGTGGCCCAGTGATAGAGCTTTTGAGCGTGGCCTGACCCGAAGATTTAATTCATGGGCTCTCTAATTTCTATTTCTTAACCCTCAGAGACAGTTTAGAGCTTCGAATGATTGAGATATAAATTCCGAGGAGTTTATAGTCCTACATTACAAGCATGGCTTCTTGACAGTTCCTCTAAACATCGTCATACTAATCCAAACGTTGAAATTTCAAGCCCAAGATACTATTTCTATTTTACGACGACCATGTGACTGAAAGGTTCAATTTGAGAATACGGTGGAACTCGTAAATTTATTTGAGATTACACCTTTTTAAGCAAAATAATAAACAAGAAACTTACTAAAAAGCATGCTGTATTCTTCATAAAGCTAATTCACTAAATCATTCGTTATTCATAATTTTGTACTTTATATGATGATTCGATTTAGCATTCAACCCACAATAGGCGACGTATTTACGCAGTGTTTCATTCGTAATACATACATACATACTTTATTGAGACTCCCTTCAACAGGGCTTTTCAGTCACAATGTCAACTATTACATAATCCTGGTAATTAACTATTACATAATACTGGTAATTAAGGACACTTTTTTACGTTAACTTAATCAAATTCAAAATTTATTAAGAGTAATTCAAAATATATGCAAAATTATTTCGTATGAAACATATTATTAAAAATTATATGCCTAAAACTATGTATTTCTTTGGTGTTCTTAGTATTGTCGGCTAGCCCACATCCATGCCCTTGGACAACGAAAGTAAAATGCCCTTTGTCCTATTGACAATCTACTTCAAGGGACCACAAAATTGTTACATCCCTTTGTGTTCTTGTTGTGAACTGCTGAACGTTTAAAAAAATATTTACCTAAATAATCTGGAGCTAAACCATTTACACATTTGAATTCTAAAACTAAGCCATTTACACATTTGAATTTTAAAACTAAGTCATTGAATAACCATGTAAGAGATCTCTGTCCCTGAGAGATATGGTCGAACTTCCCTAAACCTAATACAACTCTTGAAGGAAACTTTTGTACCAATTTCAGTTTGAGTAGATTACGTTTAGATGTGTTTTCCTACACTGAGGGAAAATAAAAGTAGTTTACTAAAAACATAGCTATTTATAGGTAATAAAAGTACTTTCTTGTCTAAAAGGTGTTTAATTCTACTTAGCTGTACTAACTGTTCATGCAACTAGAGGCTGTTTTAGTGATATGTACATCATAGGTAAGATATTGATTAATATATACCCCGAGATTCTTGGCAAATGAAACTGGTGATATAGTTTTGCCTAACAGGGATAAGGAGATATGAGGTAGCCTCTTAATAAGTTGTGCCCACCGTTCGAGCGGAGTGTGGTCTGGTAACAACCAATGAACGAGAAGTTATACGAAAAGTAAATGCAAATTTTACGTTCCATTTCATACATTTAGTCTTTTTGGTTGCCCCAGGAGCCTGTTTATTGAAAGTTCTGGTAATCATTGGTCCGAAAACGCTGTTTTTCAGGTATCAATGAAATTGAATTCAATTGAAATTCAAATTATGGAAAATCTAAGAAAACGAAAGAGAACGGGCTGGGTTTTGAGCGAATACCCGCTATACTATTCCTTAGATTAAGATTCAAGAATATGACTCGAGAAGTTGCCAAAATGTGCGAGAAAAGAGTCCCTGGGATAAATCGATTCACTATAGAATACATGCTGTGTTGTATAGTAATAAGTTTAGAATAATCGCTGATATTAGTTCAGTTTTTTCCTTGTTTTTTTGTTTTTTTTTTCGCCAGAGTATCGTTCATTACCAAAGCAACTCAAAGTCCTGGATACATATGCCTTAGGAGATCTTATACCAGGCGCATCACACATCACCTGGACCAACAAAACTAAACATACTACTTTATTTGTTGGAATTTGAAAAGTCAGACTGATATAAAAACGTACCAATCAATCAAACTGAAAAAGGTAATACAATATATAATTTAAACTCAGAGCAAGATTTGATTGTGTAGTCTGACCGTCTGGGCCTGAGAAGTCCTGAGTAGGTAATGCCTTCGCACCCGAACGATCAGACAACTCCCACATTGAATTTAAGTACCAAAGCTGTTATAGAATTTGTGCTTAAAGTCTAAAAAATCTGAAAACCTAACAATTATCAAAAGGAAATTAAGAAAATCATGCTTTCAGCTCCATTCCCAGGGTCTTCTCCATATTATCAAGGAGGCGAGAAGAGAAGGGCCTGGGTTGGACGTTACCATTCACTCAATGCCATTTGTCTGACTGTATAGAGGATGGCGAAAAATTGGGCAGCTGCGACGGCAAATTTAAAGGAAACATTTCAGGTGGATGCAACTTAAACTTGTTTGAATTAAACGCGAGAATATTTAAGTTAAGATCACCGTCAAATCACGGGTAAAAGTAAAGGAGACTGCAAAGCTCACAATCGAACCAGCATTGCTGTGGATTCAGAACTGTTCCAAGGCTGCATGCAAAGAGAGCTCTTCTCTCGAGTGTCGTTAGACCAAAACCCAACTCATTACAACAGCCAATCAGAAGTAAACATCAAAAACCAATGAGGGATTCAATTGAAACATAGACAAGTTCCTTCAAAGGAAAGAAGACACAAAAAGCAATGATTGATTTTGACACTCCAGTTCACGAAACCAGAAGTCGAGAGTCAGGCAATTGACTCCTACAGCCTTCGCCACAACTCCACATACAAATCCGATTCAGAATTTTAACTAGTGTCACTGGTGTCTTTAGACAGATTTTTGAAACCCATACTCCTACACTGGCAGAAAAGAAACGTCCAATGTATAAATGATCCGAAGAGACATTTACCTTATTGGAATCTAGACGTAACGGCACTGAAAACTGTGCAGTTGTTTTATATAAATCGAGGATAAACATTGACCTACAAAGCTAAATTTATAGATAGAACACAACAAATAACCTAATATTTCACAACTATATGAGAAAAAAATGTTAATTATACAGTACAACGGATGGCAAAATCCACAAACACGGACAATCATCTAACAAGTAGACGCGACAAACAAGAAACGATGTGAAACGAACAAGGCAGAGAAATTCCCTTCTCTGGGAGTTTTGCAGCAACACAGTGTTAGTACGAAGAGTAAGTCATTACCTCCAAACAGATGCAGCACTCATCATGTCCTGAATTTTCTCGACAAGAATGTCTTCCCTCCAGCCGTTTGTCCAGACATACGTTACACACATCACGGTGGAAGGAGCGGTCTTTGAAGATACTGAAACGAAAACAGGAACATCACTTCGCAGCTAAATACTCGATTATAACTTAACATGACTCGTAAAGAAAACATATTACTAATGCAAAGTGAAAACCCTATATTTGTACTCGATTCGATCTAATGAAACCTGATGCCTATGAGGAAACAAAAACTAACATTCAATACTGCTCAATATTTTTTATTACGATTTCGCAAAGATGGATGAGAAAACACTGGAAGTGGTAAGTTTCATGTGCGTATCGATCAGGGCGTCTCTTTCTCTTATTAAGCGTTGCTCTCGCCCTGAGGCTAACGCTAGAATTTTCTTTCCATTCATACGGTAAGACTTAGTATTGAAGTAGGCCGATTACTTCCTTACTTTTTAAAAAACAGGAATATCATGAAACAAACAAAAAACGAGGAATTTCGTCATAAATATCGTTTCACACATCAGATACCACATTTTGTGCAATGATATGGATTTTTGTCTGTGCCTGTGAAGTGTTTATACACAGAGCAGAAATATGCTGAGAACTTTGGTTTACATCTAGCACAGGTTTGGGCGTCCTGATTGATCTTAAAGAAGAAAAAAGCATTAAAAGGAAATCGCATATAGTCTAAATGTAACTTCTCCATTTCCACATTTATGAAATCTTAAATAAATGATATGTCTATGTACCTCTTGCTGATGGCTTCAAACCGAGCACTCAACATAACACGCCTCTCTTGCTTTGGAATTATCATTTGGACACCCAGAGTTGTTATGACAACGACGACAGGGAAAGAACTTTCCACGGCATGGGAACTTGACACGTCAGAGCCGCTTATAATGTTCACAGAGCCATTGTCGATCCTAAGCACCAGCTGAGGTTTGCGTATGTGTTTCTCTTCCACAGCTCGTCGGATTGCTGACTTATTCCCTGTCATTACTGCGTTCTGTTTGTCTTGCCTCCCTATCTCTTCTTTCACGTGCTCGTTGTTCTTTCTTGGCCCGCTCTTCTTTCTTCCTTCGCTCTTTTTCCTTTATTGCCTTTCCTATTTCTTCCCTTTTTTTCAAGGTTTTTTCGACAAAGGAATACGTTCCGGCCACTCATCGCTCTAGGTCAGCTTACGAATCACAATTTGAGAGAGACGGTGGCCCTTGCATTGGTTAGCAGTATCCTGATCTGCAAGTATTCTTGTTTCCCATGTCAGATTTCTGTTCATGGTTGCTCGTGGTAGAGCGGAGATTTCCATTTCAGGGGAAACCAGGCCTTGTGCATTTGAAGTGGTATTAGATAAACATGCAGGTTTTCCATTCATCATATTAAAATCAGAGTTTCTTTTCCGTTGTACTTCAGGATCAGTACGTTGATCCTCGACTTTTCTCTGCTGTGGTTATAGGGGTGTTTGCTTCAACGGCGTCTCACCATTGATCAAAGCATGCGGAGGTATAACTACAATTCGTGGGTCATCGTAGGAAAGGGTTTGGAGATGCTCCGATCCGTTGCAGGGAAGAAAAAGTAGAGGACGAGCAGGCAATGGTAGATCCCAAACTGCAGGGTTAGGATTGAAGGAGCCATAATGGTTTAGACCTTGTGCGTATGCGTACCATATAGGAAATAATTTTGTAATAGATACCTTAATCTTCACGATTTGCACGCTCAAATTCAGTGCATGGGAGCTTCTTCACAATCATCCAGACACAATTTATCGTTTTCTTCGAAGCCACTGCACTTCCCAGAAATTGAAAGGAAGTGACGTAATGTTTAGTAGCTCGCATCCTCAGGATCAAGGTAACTATCACAATGTTTTTTTCCTTTTGTGATTCATGAATCTTGTCTTAACCTAGTGTGTTATGTGTGCATATATAATCGTTTAAGACATGAAGCAAGCCGTCGCCGAAGACATAGTTCTTGGACGCCAGCCATAATTTATGCGGTTCCTGGTTAATTCTCAGAAATATAGAGGAAGTGGTTTCGTATTCTAATGTAAATACCATGGCCACAAGATAAGCGCAGGGTGCGGAGAGTTGTGGGAATAAATGACTGTGAATATATGAAAAACATAGATGTCAAATGTGGATAAAGACGTGAATATGAAAGCGATCTTTGCAGTAATGAACACTACTTGAGCAGTGGTGAAAACAAAGCCTGAAAAAAAAAAGGCCCATACGGGATATGAGCCCATGACCTCTACGATGGCGGTGCAGTGCTCTACCAACTGAGCTAACAAGCCAACTATATATATAAATATATGAAAAAATATGAAAATCATACGTGTGAACTGCGGATAAAGACGTGCATATGAAAGCGATCTTAGCAGTAATGAACACTACTTGAGAGGTCATGAGTTCAAATCCCGTCTGGGCCTGGATTTTTTTCAGGCCTTATTTCCACTACTGCTTAAGTAGTGTTCATTACTGCTAGATCGCATAAGAAATATACCAGACTAATTGAGCAAGTTTGGCGCCAACATATGCACAGATGTTTGTTCGCGGAGATTATCTGTTTTGAGATGCGAACAGTTTTTCGGAAGCAAAGCTCGAGGAAAACTGCGAGCTTCGAGGAATAGAATGCAGAGGTACCAAAGATCCATAGACACAGTGTATTATGTCACGAACCGTATTCCCTTAAATAACGGTCTATATCCAAAAAGGGCGGCATTTGAAATTTCAGTTTTCAGTGAGGCACGACGGAAGTTTGGAGACTTCATTTTGATGTTAAAATAGTGTTGTCACGGAAAACTGGGTCCGTTTCCATTGGCAGAGGCTTTTAAATTTTACCTTTGGTGACCCACAGCTCTTGACATTCGGTTACCTTACGAAACGAGGAAGGTTGCCCGTGACAAGAGCGTTATTTTATGGTGAAATCCCCATCACCAGACTTCTTACGTGTCTCCCTCAATTGATAATCGTAGTAATATGTGCCACCCCAGAATATGCACCACCGCCGTTAAGAAGGGATCTTAAGATTAAATTTGAGTAAATATTTCACTGGTAATACAACTGAAAGGTGCGGGAAGAAACGGTTCCTGACAATCAATAGGTGCTTCGTTAGTGTCTCTCAAATGTTCAAACCGACAGGAAATGTACAATTTACTAAAAACTTGCTGAGACAGTGAGAAAATCATTTTAATACGAGTTGGGTCCACACATTGTCTAGTTTCGTTGCGAAACGATATAATGTTCGCGTAGCTATGATTTGAATAGCTACTTGAAGTTTCAAATCCCAGAGTTACATCAGAATGAAATAACAAACTACTTACAAAACTATGAAAAATATAAAACCTAAGAAAACTAAATACCTTCTATTTATGAAGGTTACCGGTTCATAATAAAATAAGCTTAGTAAGTAAATTTAGTCTCTAGACATGCATCAATATTACTCGTCATTAACTTGATAGATGACTACCAAAATTTCAAGTGCAAGCTCGCTTTGTCTTCCCTTCCCTTCCTTTCTATCACACGTCTCCCGAAAGGCAAAGAAGATGAAATTTGAAACTCGTACAATTCCTTCCTATTCTGGTGTAACTATATATGAAAAAAGGTTGTAGAGGGGCTTTATTTCAAACAGCATTCTAATAACCATAAAACTACCAGGAATTTAATAAAAACACCATGTGAAATGTTTTGTTTGCTTTAAGTGTGATGGCTATAAAATCCCTAGAAGCATATTTTCATTTTACATTACGGAAAAAAAACAACCCCCTCAAATCTAATTTGATGCTCAGGCTTTGGACAATTTACTATGTAGTTTTCTCACAATGATAAGAAATATAATTTATTTTACAATGGCCTCACTATTATGATACAGTGAGCCACCTCCTCGCCTGACTAATCGATGCCTTGCACACTTTTACACAAATCTTTTAAAAGATGAAAGCGGTAAATTTGGATATAAAAGCCACTGCATAGAAATCACTTTGACCTAAGGGGATCCTGCCACCCTCATTTCCCCTCTCCCCTCAGGTTTGCGTCCTTGTACAGGTAAGATTAAAATAACTATTACAATCTTTAACCCTAACAATCTACACTGTTCTCTTCACATATCCTCTGGTACTGACAATGAGAGTTTGTTTGACAATCAAGAGCTTCCTAAATTGGTGATCATTGCCTTTATTCTCGTTACATTTATCATTTGATCCAAGGGTGATACCGCCAGGAGAAATAAGGAGCAATTCATTGTTAGGGATAAAAGATTAAATTCACGGCTACAATAAAGAATGAATACGTCAATCAGGACACTATCTAAAACATCTCAATGGGGAACAATTTGCCCTTTCTTGAAATTTTGAACACTGGAGTCGAGGTTGTAATTCATTCATTCATTCCTGTCTGACTGTACAAAGGATGGCGGCAAATAGGACAGCTGCGACTGCAAATGAAAAGGAAATATTCACGTGAACTCGAGAAAAACTGGTGTGGGAATGTCGCAATAAATTCTGGCCTACTTAACGTACAAAGTCTTTCAAAGTTTACCGATGAAGTAATATCGCTTTAGATACAAGAGAACTCCGTGACAACATGCATAGAGCGTCTTAAACCAAAACTGAAATAATCTCTGGACCTAACAAAAGCTTAGGGGACAAAGAAGGACAATCAGGGCGTTAACCGGGATTTGTCGATTTCGCCAGACTTATTCCAAGCTGTAGGGGAGAACGGAGGTCTGTTTCTCCGGACGTCTCTACTGTTGATTCTTTTCTGAAGTTATTTTCATTGCGAAAACCAATCGCTATTTGTCAATAAATCACTCCTGCCCACTGGCGACCAAAGCTCCTTACGACGGCACGGAGGTTTTTTTATTATAAATGCAAATGAAAACTGCTCAGTGCACTCTCATAGCTGGAGCAGGTCCACACACACCCAATCCAGAATTAAATACAACACATTGTCAGTGCAGTGGTGGAGTGTTCTTCCACATTTAAGTTTATTCCCAAAAACAGATATAGCGATATTTGAGCATACTTACACGCCGTTCTGTATCATAGCAATAGCACATTCGCGGTGAACCTTGTGTGAGCATGGCAGGATCTGACAACCGCTAAAAGCGTCCTGGAAATAAAGAATCGATCAACAAAATAAAAATATAGACATTTGGATTGTGGTCTGCCTCTCTTTCGTCAGATTTCGACCCCAGAAATGCAAGCACCTGATGTCACTAACGTGACAAGTAAATAAAACCAAACTTAGTGCAAGGTTAATTGCTTCGGCTAAACGGCAAAACCTTTTAAAAGATATTTCTTATTCAGCCTTTTATGTAAATTAAGTAACTACCTCCAAACAGATGCAACACTCATCGTGTCCTGAATTTGCTCGGCAAGAATGTCTTCCTTCCAACCGTTTGTCCAGACAGACGTTACACACATCACAGTGGAAGGAGCGGTCCTTGTAAATACTGAACGAGAAATAGAAACATCACTTCGCAGGTATTTACTCGAGCACAACATGATTCGTTGGGGAAACAAATTTCGAACTCACACTGATAAGCGCCGTATTTCTACTCGATAAGCTGCAATAATTATTGAGGAGGAAACTTGTATTTTGTCGGACTCTTATTCCTTTTTGAGAAACAACTAGCAATGGGGTGTTTTATGTACTCCTCGATAAAGCATTTCTCTCTCCTTGAATACTTTGCTCTCGCCTTACAGATTGTGCCAGGATTCTTCATACCTACTTCAACTCAAGTCAATAGCTCTGAAGCAGGCCAATAACTCCCTAACCCTTATTCTTTGGACAACAAGCATATCATCCAAACAAACGAAGACAAAACTCGTCATGAATATTGTTTCACCTACCGGCAGATACCACATTTTTCGCAGTGATAAGGAGCTTTATCCTCCCCTGTGAAGTGTTTACATACCGAGCAGAAATATGCTGAGAACCTTGTTTTGCATCTGACACAGGTGTGGGCGTCCTGGTTGATCTTAAAAATCAAACATTCGAAGTTAAATCGGTTATAACCTAAGTGGGAGAACTCTCTTTCCTCTTATATAAAATTTGAAATCAATGTCATTCCCATTTACCTCTTGTTGATGGCTACAAACAGAGCACTCAACAGAACACGCCTCTCTTGCTTTGGAATTGTCATTTGGACACCCAGAGTTGTTATGACAACGATGACAAGGAAAGAACTTTCCGCAACACGAGAACTTGACACGGCAGAGCCGCTGATAATGTTCACACAGCCAGTGTCGAACCCCGGCACTTGCCGAGTCTTGCAAAGGTGTTTCTTGTCCACCGCTCGTGGAGTTCCCCTCTACTCTTTCATTCCTGAGTTCCGTTTCTCTTGCTTCCCTCGCTTCCCTTTCTTTTCTTTCACGTGCAAGTTGTTGTTTCCTTGCCCGCTTATCTTTTCTTTTTTGCTCCGTTTCTTTCATCGATTTCTCTCTTTCTTGTCTTTCTTTCAACGTTTTCTCGACAAGACAGCAAGCTTCAGCCACACGTTGCTCGAGTACGGCCAATGATTCGTCAGCAGATGTGTTTGAATTACTGTTTAACAGACCATGACCAGCTCCTGCACTTTCCCCGTCCGGAAGAAATCCTGGAGCGTCATCTTTTCTTTCAAATTGCGATGAGAACGTCGGCCTTTCGGCGAGTACATGTCCATCTGGGGAGATATTTGTAAACGGGAGATTTGCTTTACATCCATCTTCAAGGAAACTTGAAGATTGAGGTAGTCCAAAGGTCTTCGCTGGAACAGTTTTTGTAAAATCACGACATTCAGGAAATTTCGTTGAACTTGGAGAAGTAAGGTGGTACACTTCAGTCATACACCTAGATCTGGTATACTCGGAGTGGGAACCTGCAAGCACTTCTGAATCTTCAAATGGATCACAAGAATCCCAGCGCTCATCAGATGCATTGCACTCATAAGAATGACGTGCGAGGAAACTGGGATCTATTCCGATGTGATTTGTGCCAAAGTCATCCCCACTTGCATCCCATTGTGAGCTGTGCCCTGACGGAAGATCGCTTCGGCGTCCACCTTTCAAACCAAAATATGTTTTTGTTTTCGAATTAATCCCGTGGGAATCTCCTGGTGTTTTTGGAAGGGCAACAGCTTGGGTATTCCAATCTTTGTCAAAGCCGCAAGCCCCATTTGTAGTAATGACATCGGGGTTTTCACCGCTGTCTGCAACCACATATCCTCCATGAAAAGAGGCTTTAAGAGTGTCATTCCGTCCACCACTGACTTCATTTGGTGTTTTCTGTATCTTCTGTGAGATGCTGATTTCTTTGTTCTCATCCTTTTGGGGTGCATTTTCAAGGTGATCATAATTCTTGCCTCTACGGTTTTCTCGATCAGAAATTTTACCTGGTCCGTCTAATTCTTCGTTGCTGTCCCACTTGTTACTGTCTTCTCTAAATGATGGAATATCAGGGCTTACAACTCCATCTGCTGCGTCGCAAGAAAATTCTCGCCAGCTTCGGTCACGGCGCGACTTCAACTGAGGAACCTCTTGAAAGTCTTCGCACAATAATAACCTTGCAAGAGCGATGTTACATTGCAACAAATCCGGGTGATCTAAACCGTAGCCAAAACTTGTCAAAATATTTAATGCTTCTTCAAAGCAATTTTTTGATGACAGGTTTCTTTCCATCAGAAAAAATCTAACACCTTGCCTATAGAGAAACGATGCATATGTTGGGTGGTTTTTCCCTAACGTTTCTTTGCAAATTGGTACAAAAACGTCGAGGAAAGATGCAAAGTCTAAGTTTTTTTCGTTTAAGTGAAAATCAACTAAATTCAATATCGTTGCGAACAAGAAGTCCCATTGGCATTTTCCATTACATCCGAGGACAGCTTCAAAATCGGTAAAGAAAAACGAAAATGAAGACATTAGTGACGAAGCAGACGATGAAGATGACGATGTTGATGACGGAGATGATGATGACGATGATGAAACTGATGACGACGACGATGATGATGACGACTCTGACCCTGACCCCGATGCTGTCGAAAACGATTTTAACGAAGGCGAGAGTGGTGATGATAGCGATTCAGGCGAAAGGGAAGGGAAAGTCAAGCGCTCCGCTATTTTCTCTGCACGAGCCACATCTCCAATCTTTTGATACGCCAAACAAATTTTTGAAGATATAAATTTCGAGAATATTGCTTCTTCGTTGTTCATCCTCTCAAATAGTGAATCCAACGTCCTCAGCTCCATGAGTGCTTTTACAGGTTCTTTGAGCTCTATGAACAACTCTGCTCTATTGTAATGTATGGCAGCTACCAAATGTGGGGGAAGAATGGGGTATTTGGCCTTCAGAATAAGACGCTCCTGCAACTTTACTGCGGCAGGGTAGTTCTTCTGACACTGGTAAGCTAAGCTTAAGTTGGTTTGTATAGCAACAATGTTTATTTCTAGAGAGTCAGTTTTGTTTTTGTTTTTAAATGTTTCAAAAATCTCCAGCGCGCATTCTAGATAATCGCTAGCCTTGTCCATAACTCCCATAATCAGATAAACGTAGCCTACATTTGCCTTGGCTACTGCTCTTAAAATATCCATAACTTGCTCGTTGTCTTTAGGACATGGCGTGGCATCAAATGTGTAAAGAGAATCACATCGCTGAAATAAGTCTATAGCTATTTTATATTTATGCAGCTTGAGTGCAACAGCAGCAAAAACAATAGTAAAGCTGACATAGAAATGGTCATCCTTATCTGCGATCAGCTTGGGGTTTAACAAAACAGCACCAAAGAAAGGAGGAGCGGAGCAATAACTCAAACACATCTCTCTACCTCGATCCACCAGCTCCTTTTCGTAATCAGTCGGGTTTCCGAGGCTATCTGGGGTTAGATTCAGGAAGTGCTTATGCCCAGCTTGTAAAGACTCTATGGCCTCTTCCACTTTGCATTGCTGGAACTGATCCATCGTTTCTTGAAATTGTTCAAATGTACTGTGTCTGGTCGACTGATTATCATCACATTCCAATTCATCCTCAAGATGGGATTCTGAAACAGCGTTTTTCGGGATCTTGGAGTCTGTTGCGTCCATCTTTCCATGTCAAATGTATTACTCCTGAAAACAAGGTAAATCTTTAAACCAAAATTCATCCACATTAACTGTGAACAAATTTTTGGTAACAAATCTGAGTAACACTGTACACCAATGCTTTAGTCAGCTCTCTCGCGCGCGTTACTTGCGTTCTCACCGCGGTCCTGCAGCAGGCTGGCATTTCGTCTTTAGTGACTTCCTAATATGTCCATGTGAGATTATGAACATGTTAAGAGTCAGGCTGTCTACGAGAGGACCGGGCAGGCGTGACACATGTCATCTCACCGATTTCTTTCAAACTTTCACAGTTTACATTGGTCACTAAGTTATTAAAAAATCCAAAGTAGTTCGGGCTTCTGGCTAATCCCTGGGGTGTTAAAAGTCCCCACATCAAATTCCTGGATTAAAAGGTAAACTTAGCTCGAAATATCAACGAATCTCTCTCACACTGACAGAATGCGATGGCCAATGGTTGTTTGAACCTTAAAGAAACAGTTTCCTAAAGTTGGGTTAATTTGGTATAACTTCTGCCAATTAATAGCAGTTAATCATTAACTGTGTCACGCAACTATTCCAAAAACAAACAAATTGGGTTTTTTATTCACAAATATCTCCAATCGACAACATTGTATGTCGACAAACGTACTATCACAGAAAAGACCTATCCTAACAATACGTTTGAGGATAAAAATATTTTTGGCCTCTGGTGTTAATTTTGGCGATTTTTGGTCATAAACCCGTGTTTAATCACCCAATTTCAATTTGAGAATGGGATCACCGACGCTAAAGCTTGTGGCACTAATATCTAAAACAAGAGATGTATAGCTGCCAAATTAAGAGGTCAGTTATCATACAAATTCTGTAACGCTAACACAATCTGTTGGGAAAATGATCCATAAATGTATGTGTGAATCATACATTGAACGTTACAGAATTAATTTTAGGGATGGAGAGAAGCACTTATCAAGTAAACTTAGAGAGAAATAACTCGCAAAAATGGGTTCTTTTCAACATAGCAAGTGGTCAGATAACAAGCAATGCACTGTGAAAGTAAAGTGAGGTATTTTCATTGAAAATTTGATTGGATTTTTCATTCCTTAGAGCGGTTGTAAATATTCCAATACAAACTCTTATAATTTCGCCATGACTCTTATTTCGCGAAATGATCATCTCACAGCAGGCGCTTAGGCTGCCTGTGGTTCGATAATAAATAACTTATCAGTCGTTTTGGTGTGTGGCATCGCCGAGTATTTTTCATCGTCTGTTTCGTCACTCTCCCTTCGGCCTCGTAAAAACACCGCACAACTAGTGAAATTAGGGCGCGGGTGCAAAAGGCAAATTTTTGTTTATTTTGCGAAACAATCAGAATGTCGCTAGCAGCACGAATAGGGAATCGAGAATGGGAAAATAAAACGGTAAATAGAAAGTTAAAAGGGAAATAATTTTTTTTTTGGTTTTAGATTTACATATATTTTTCATCGACATCAAAGTACTCTATCAAAAATGTTCAAAATTCAAAGAACGAAAGGAATTGATGACAAGGAAAGAAGTGACCTTCGAGCAACAAATACTGTTCAAGGACAGACATACGAACGTATTTTCGCGCAGAATAGAGGCTATTATGTTTTTTATCCTTCAAATATTTTGCAGCGTGTGGGGTTTACGAACAGCTCACTGTTTTCGGCGTGAGGTGTATTCTTTTGGGTGTTCTCTGGTTCTACTCTATGAACAAACAATTATTTCTCATTTTATGTAACATTTGCATTATCGTAGTGAACGTAAGATTTGAAAATTGGTCAGCATAACTTAGGTGATATCCTCGGATATTCCTTTGTCTTAGCTGGGGAGTTGGCTGCACACTCGCCACCAATATTCATGCAAATTTTCACTTGAAACCTAACAGATTCATTACCTGCTGGACGCGCCTTATGGTCATGAAATTATTCTTTGATATGCTTTGTCAGTTTCGCTGCAGCCGCTAAATTGAAAAGCGTGGCAAGTGCTTTGTCTGATCGAGATTTCTCTACTGAGCAAACCCTCATTACTTTCGAAAAATAAAATGAAAATCTTTTTTAAATGGATGTTCAACTCTGGGTTCCTTTGCCGTTCGGAATTGAGTAGTGACTTGGACCCTGAAAAGTTCAAGCACTTAACGGCTAACTTCTTAGAAACTTCCAATTTATTGATTTTAAACTAAACATTAAAATAACCCTTTCATAACCTTTCATAACCCTTTAAGTGTCATGCATCACTTCTTTCGTTATCATCAATTTATTCCGTTTCTTAAAATTTGTCTCTGAACAGTTTTTGAAAGAAAGCGTGGATATTGATAATCGCCGCTGAAAAATTTCTATTTCGCACAATTAACATAGAATTTCAAAAGAAAACAGTAACATCCAATACATCTGTTCTCAGTTCCAGACCGTGCCCGGAAATCTGATCTGAAATGTTTTCCAAACGTTTTGAAATCGCGTGACATTACCGAACAAACATCTTATACCCTAAGCGGAACTTATATGTAAATTTTTGACTGCAGAGCATTTATTAACCATTCCAGAACGTGCCCTGCTATTTAGCCGCAACCTTAAATAAATAACACGCTCTGTCTCAATTGCATGTCTGCGTTGTTGCAATCAAAAGATTCATTCAGAAAGGAAGGGTAAAAAATTCTTTTCGTCTCCTAGACTGAAAATCAGACAGTCAAAATGTTATTCAAGAACACCAGTTTCTAATACTTGTCTTGAAAATTCCTCCCACTAAAAACGTAGAAAGTAACATCAAGCTTTGAAAGTTCCAGTGTTTACGAGCAAGTTGTATGTGAGAAACCCTCATGTGTGTTTTTTGAACTGAATAATCCCTTTGTCACTCGCCATTTTTGTTAGGCGCACAACTAAGAAGGCGCGTGAATTGAAGACAGACAAAGGTCGTATTCAGTTAAAAAAAAAACGATCACGAGAAAACATGAAGTACAGGGACCTGAAGGAAATATACGCACCACACATCAGTAAGTCAGGCTTCGAGCGGGTCTTTCCCTTACAACAATCATGTGACTGAACAATTCTACGAGATGCGATCAGAATTACGATTTTCAGAACGCGTCGAGGCCTGTTCGACTTCGATGAATTAAAGCGAAATGTAAACAAATATAAAAATTGACAAACCCCGGACAAACTCACCTACGTTAGCTTGAAAAATGTTTCGTGTGTCGAAATCTTTTGCCCTCTAATCGTTGGAGTAAGAGGACGTACAACGTTCACATCGCAACTTTGCCGAAGTGAACGAATTTAGATGGGCGGCATTAACGGCCTTCAATGCAAATATGCAAATTTGAAACTGTCAAATGTCGTCTGGAAGCGATAGTCGGGAAAACCCCCAACTTATGTTCAGTGAGACGTGACGTCATATTAGACTGCACCGCAATCGTTTAGAGAGATTACTGACCGAGGGATTTTGCGCGTACTTATGAGACAATGAGATTAAAACCAAAACGATCTTGAAATCTGACACAGAGATATAAATATTGAGAGCAGATAACTTCCGAGGTTTGATAAGAGCTTGGTGACGAATAACACATCATCCTTATAGTACTGCGATAAGTTCGATTACCACCACGCGTTAAAGATTTGAGCCCACGCGTTTACCCCGAACGATCCAAGACCCGACTCGAGAGACGGTAGAAATGGAGTTTGCAACAAGAACAAGGCGATCCCCTTGTCGTCACACCCCTGAGCCATGAGCTTGTTGAATAAGACCGAAGAAGATAAAGAGAACATAAACTGCAGTTTATAATCTCTTCGGAAGACTTATAAAATAAACACGCGTGGGTCCAAGACGGGAAAAAGAGTCTCTTCGTGGTGCACATATAAAAAGCGACTTGGATATCTTTAGCCTCGTGACGTAAAAGCCCTTACTGCTGGATCTTGAGGAATGCCATGCACTTCGTAAGATCGTTTTCCTCGCTCGTTTTCAACTAGAGTTCATAAATTGTAAGAAACTGGTTAAGTAGAATATTTGATTCGTTTGTAGAATAACAATTGAAAGCCTACATGCTCTACGAATATGTTTTCCTACAGTAGCGAACAGATTTCTGTGAAACTCGTTATAGCACCCGCCGCAGTCTTCTCTGTTACCATTTAGCTCAGCGGGTCACGCGAAGTCTGTTGACCTCACACTTCTCCCTTTAAACTAAAAGCTTAGGAATATACGCAGATATATTACTATCGTACCTAAATTCTGCGAAGAGGAAACGGGAAGTCATAGTTAAAAATATTACGCGGACAACGCATGTGCAGACCAGTGAAGCGGAATATGTACCCTCACTATTTTTTCGTTCTGAAGGAAAATACTGGGAAACGTTCACATATCGGCTACATGGTCCAACGAGATGTTAATTTTACACTTTGGTTAGTGTATCAACGACATTAAACGAGTTTGTGTAAAATTATTTGAAGTTTCGGTGTCGTTATAAAATCAAACTTCCTTAAGGAAACTGAGAAGACGTCGAATTTAAAATATATCACGCTACACTAAAATTGTTTCTCTGTTAACTGAAATTCACATGAACAAAATATTACAACGTACCAAACATAACAACGAGGGTAACTTTTCAATTCTAGCGAGCTGGAATTATTCTTTTGGTTATCAACAGTGTCATGTTAATTAGACTTTGCAATTGCAAGAAGCGAAGAGAAATGAATAACCAGTAATTAACAGACACTAACCTCTTACAAAAGGACAACGATCACTTAATTCACATCCTCCTGAATCCTCCTCATCACTATCAATTAAAACGCGGCGATTGGTTGTCCATCTCATCAAATGTATATTAGCTATGTATAGCAGCGTTTCATCAACAACAGGATAAGCAAACTAATGCGCATGTCCTTGTAACGAGGAAGCCTCGATTTCTGCATCTCTCTCTCTCTCTCAAATGCAGTCATCGTGAAGAGCGTGGGTTCATGCTCTAAACATCAGCGAGTTTTTTAGTTTATTTTTCTCCTCCAGACATCGAGCTTATTTCTATTTCCTCTCTTTGATTCAGATTTCCGTCCCTTTGGTAATTTTTTTTTCGCGGCCCCCAAGTTGTTCATCAACCCTTTTCATTATAGCGGGCCCACACTCGTCGAAAAAAGAACACAAAACGAGAAGGAAAACCTCTATATTAGGCATGACAATTTGTGTTTTACTTCAAAGTTTTTCTAAGAATTAGACACGAAAGTTAGAGTCTTCCTTTCCCTCTTACGGGAAGTTCTAAGAGAGGAAACTCTATGGGATCTGGACATACGCATGGCAGGAGATTAGACTGTCTAAGTTGTATTTAGACCCGCAGTGAGCCCACCGTCTAAGATGCGCTGAACCCTACCATTGTCGAGAGGTTTTAAAATATTGCTCGAGGAGAAATAGGTTTGTAGAGAGGAGTAAAATAATAAAAGCAAAGAAAGTACAATAAAGAGGGCAAATTTTGGTGAGCTTCTTTAGTGTCATAGTAATGTTTTGTCCAGGAAAGTTTTCGTTAAACAGCATTGCAGTTTTGTCCTTTTTTTCTGCGAAATCGTCACTTGCTCCCTGCAATCCATCATGGCCTACAACCGTGGGAACCTGCTATTTATCATATATACAGAGAAAATATTGTTTATGAGGCTCTAAGTATGACCTCATGGCAAGATAAAGATCAAAATATCGTCTTTCGCATAACGTAACGCTCTTCGCGTTGCCACACCGGAAACCAGACAACCGTTGCGGGTAAGAAAGCTTTGAAGGCCACGTCAAGATAGTAAATTTGGTATAGCTGCAAGATAAAATGATGAAGTTTCGAAGGGGATGTGGATTTGTCTTATGTGTGTGTGCGTAAGCTTTTGCGATGATGCCACTAAGTTGCTGAATACGAAAGTAATGCGTAATCATCTCGGCCAGAGTCACTCTGCCTCATACGCCATCTAAAAAATGCCAATGACTTTGGTCGCCATTTCAGAAATTTCTGAAACAAATTAAGCAGGTCGACTGAAAAGTAGTTCAACAAGCATGTGTGGTGAAAACCGGAGAATAGATTCAAGGCGGTCTTATGTTCTTGTAAAGCGCCATTATCTTAGAGTTTGCGAGTATATGATGCGCGTGCGGCGAGTTTACACAGAATCTCGCGACTAGCAAAATAATATACATTACTCACAGGCGACCCAAGCTCCAGCTGTGAGATGATCAGCTTGCGCAATAACAGTCATGGCGGAATTATAAGAGTTTGTATGGGAATATTTACGACCGCTCTAAGGAATTAAAAAGAACGTCAAATTCGCAATAAAAATACTTGACCTTGCTTCCACAGCGTATCACTTGTTATCTAACCGCTTACTTTGATGAAAAGAACCCATTTTAGTGAGTCGTCCATTTCGAAGTTTTCAACGTACATAAGAAAAGCCCAAGGCTGAACAGTCCATTGCCGAACGCCCAATCCAAAAAGCGAAAAATCTCTGCGCAAAATGACCGGGCGGCCACAAATCCAACGCTGAATCCAGTCACATATACAGTAGTTTTATTTCAATCCACTACAAACTCAATCTTCCCCGTGCAACCGACGCTAAAGCCGCAGTTTGCTTCAAAAATTTCCAGTTTAGAGGTTTCTAACAGCCCGCGTACACATCAACTTTGACACACGACCGTTGAAAACCAGCTTGGTAACCCTACCTCCTTTTTAAACTGCGCCTTGCCGGGGACCAAACCGTAACTTGGCACCTGTGGTGCTAACACAATTTCTTCAGCTGAGCGTTCTGTGTAAACGGAAGCGACCTAAAGAGACATCTTATAAGACTATAAAACCTAAAGCTTCGGAAGAACTGGCATCCTGGTAATCCGTTTATCATAGCATTTCAAAAGCAATCTTCTCGATGGTCTGGAAATTTTGAGGAGACTTGTTGAAGATGAGTTCACTTCAGAACCGTCTTCCATTCCAAAGAAATGATAAATTTGAAACAGGCTAAAAGTCTTGTTGGTTCCAACAGCATCGTTTTGCTAAGCCCGCGAGACTCGCGCGAGGAGATGGAGGAGCCTCGCACTTTCTATGCGTTTGACTTGTGCTTATCTGACTAGCGAGTGATCACCAGAAAATTTACACAGGTACAATTCGTAACCTTCGATCCGTGACACCCATTTTCTTTAAAGTGGGATGAAAAATTGTTTCCTTGCCGTTGTTTTCCTGTGTTTTTGCGGGTGACGACATAAAGGGATTTTGGAAGGTTGATTTAACCCCCGCCACCGACGTTCCTCGAAATTTTACTTAATTTTAGGAATCGCAGTATACATAAAACATTTCTCGTGATGACTTAAATCAAGTTGATATCGACCGCTTCAAAGCACAGCTAACGTAGGAGATCAATTATCATATTATATCACAGTCGGCCCAAGTTTCAGTTGTGAGATGATCACCTCGCGAAATAATAGTAATGGCGAAATTGTAAGTTTGTAATATTGTAACATGTATATATGTCACATAATCGAAACAGAAACTACTGATCGAAGCATAAGCTGTTCAAGGTCATTAGTCAGTTTTGTTCAAAGCTATCACTGAAGCGCAGCTCGATAGTTCACAAAATGCTCAGGCGGAAACAAAAATATAATTATTCCGTTTACACTGTCGCGAGCAAAGGGGCGTACAAGAATTATTCAACTAAGCGTAATGCAACGTTTTGAACATATTTTTTGGCATAAGGCCATTTTGTCAGGTGTGACACTCGAAGTATAATGTTAGTGTCGAGTAAAGAACACGCTCTGCGAACATTCGTAGCCTACGAGACAAAGACTGATTTCAAGTTACGCACCAATAAGTGTCTGTAAATTTATTGTTATCAGGAAGAAATCAAATAAGTTCATTTTGAATAATGATATAATGGTTTGCTTTTCATAACGGGTGACATTATCATTTTTTAAATATCTCTATCAATAACTGACCAAACCAATTCACTTTCTTGATTAAACTGCCCGCAGCTGTAAACACAACAGCAAGGTTATAGTTTTGTAATTTCCTGACTCGTGTTGAACCATACTGCTAAGGCTTGTGAACCAGGACGAAGAGCGTAAAAATGTTTTCGTCGCTGTTCTCCAAAAGTTCAACTTAGCTTGAAATTTTTCTTGAATGATACGCCTTTCTGAGATTCGAAGATAGCAGGACGAACTTTATCCGTACCACCATTCAGTAAATTCAATGATTGTTTTCAAATAAGTCCACTGTAAAATACAGGCGTAGTACTTTGCT